ACTTGAATTTTTCATATTACGTAGATTTGAAGACCGAAGTGATCTTGAAGTTTTGAAGTCTACGAGATGATGCAATTGGAAGTTCGGAAGTGATGTATTCGAAATGGGCTTGGAATTATTGAAGATTTTTGGGGTGTGTTTTTATGCGCAACTTTGGGTGATTATTTGGAGTTTGGAATACTCTTGATCATTCGTTGCTGCTCGGATTGTATGGTCTCACATCCTAGAGCCCAAATTGAAGAGTCATGGAAGAATTGAAGATTGAAGTTTGTTTCGACATGTGTCACCTTTGAGGCTCGAACCGCGTAGTGCTTGATTTGGAAGATTTGAAGTGGGTCATTCATTCCTAACTTTGAGGGGGAGAAAATTGGGGTGCAAAGTTATTCATTCATGACTTTGTAAATGTTTGACTTTTGTAAAACCCACTTGCATGTGGTGCTTTAGCCTTTAGACCCATTTGGTAGTTAGAGTGAGAGAGAGACATGTAAACACCTCTATAAATAGTAGGTTCATACCACTTGTAGAGGTGTGCTTGAGAGATGTAGAAGTAAGTGTGTAAGTGTGTGTTAATTATGTAGTCTAGATCTAGATCCTTTTTGTAACACCATATACATTCAATATATCTCTTAAACACCCAATTCACCATGTTCAAGTGTGCAAACTTAAATTCCGCATGCTAAACCATGTTCTTATGTCACTACAACCAAACCTTACATGGTATAAGACTATAAACATTTAGGGGCCAAAGTGCTCTGAACTAAAAGTATACTTTAAAATAAAAGTATTTTCAAAAGTATAAAAGTATACCTAACCGCCGAAATCCATAACTACGAGTAGAACAAAACATAAGTAAATGGGTGTTGTACGTTGCGGTTAAACCTAGGCAGTTATGTAGTCGTGTCTAGGGTCAATATAGCCTAATCAACTATATTCATTCAAGACACAACCAACATGTGCTTGGGAGTGACTGTGGTGTGCAGCATGCCTAAAACTTACCTAAGATCCAAACAATGATTCATCAATACAACGAAACATAAAATACTATGGGAGTATTTTAGCCAGAGCCGAGTACATTGAAGAAATTCATTCCGAGTGTTGCTACTCACTCTTTTCTTAGCGATAGTTTGTCTGTTTTGATAACTCTTTCATGTTTGTCGCTTACTAGAACTTTATATCTGTCATAAAGAGAACTTACAACTTACTACAACTTTCTTACTATTTACTACAATTTTCTTACAACTTATTTACATCACTAAAATCTTATGAACTCACCAGCTTAAATGTTGATCAACTCTTTCAAAATAAATTTTATTCTCGGGAAACTAGTAAACAGGTATGCGCGTTGGGATTCAGAAGATGGAGCATAGTTGCTTCATGTCTTGTTTTGTTATTTACATATGCAGTATATATTTTGTGAACCACATACTTTGTAAACATGTTCTTTCTAATGAAATGGTTGTTTATTACTTTGATTACTATGATGCATGTCTTGTGATACTAAACATGACGTCCTGCGCCTCCGAACGTTTCCGTCGTTCCGGTTTGGGGGTGTGACACCCGAGAAACTGAACCGACCAGAAACCGACCATTTATGGGTTGGGTTGGGTTGGGTTTGAGTCCAAAACCGACCCATGCACAACCCTACATATTTTCATTGTTACCAACTATAGCAAGTGACATTGGTACATGTAAACAAATTAACAAATTAAATGGTTAAATATGTATAAGAAAAGAAAGTTTTCTAAATATGAAAGAAACGAAAAATTAATTACCTTGATAAGTCATTTTCCCTACTCTTAATAGCGATTTTATTTTTCATATCAGTTTGTATTATTCTTTTCAAACGTTATTTTTAAAATATTGATAATTTTCTAAATACTAATTAAATATTAATCGATTTTAAACTTTACTTTTTAATTAATAAATATATTTTTTTGTTTTGTGAAATATTTTATATAGACTCTTATAACTTTTTTCTTTTGTTTTTAAGCATATACAATATTATTAAAGTAAATAGTATTTAACAATAAAATTAAATGTGTAACAATAGTTATGGAGGGTCTTTTAAAAAAACATAAAAAGAAAATATTACTTACGAAATAAAAAAAATATATATGTATAATGTAAATGTTTTAAAAGTATTCCAACTTTGTAATACTTTTTAATTAGAAGTTTATTAAATTTTAAATTTTTTTAATACAACGTTTTAAACTAGTATCTAACGAAAGTATTTTAAAATGTTATAAAAAATATTAAATTGTCAAATAAAATCTGTGAAACATTTTAAAAATGTTGTAAATGAAAGTTTAGAAATAAATGTATAAACGTTATAAAAAATTTTGTATGAAAATGTAAAAAAAAACTATAAGAAAAATTTAAAACATTTATAAAATATTTTGTTTAAAAGCACTTGTATTAAAAATATATGAAAGTATAAAAAAAAATTTAAAAACTATACGCAACGTTTAAAAACATTGTATTAGAAAAACCTATAAGAAAAAATATATATATCATAAAAATGTTGTAAGAAACTACAAAAATTATTAAAAATTTTGTAAAAAAAAAAAATTATTCACATTTACACAACTTTTTTTTTTTTTTTTTTGTATACATTTGATCATATAATTTTAGACAATTTTCTTTTTTTGTATATATTTGTCCATTTAATATATTAAATGTGTTCACATATTACCATTGTTACCTGCTATAGCAGGTGGCAATGGTAAAATGTGAACAAATTTAACAAGTTAGATAGCAGGTGAAAGGTAACAATGGTAATATGTGAACTCATTTAACAAGTTAAATGGTCAAATGTGTACGAAAAAAATAAAGTTACCTAAACGTGAACAAGACGAAAATGTAATTACCCTCGCAAGTCATTTTCTCTTATATTACACAAAAAATAAAAGTTTGTCAAAAACTAAAAATAACTTACAAAGTTATTTCGTTTTGATACCATATTAATTCGAATATTTTAAGCGTGTGATAACTAATAAGCATTTTACAAATAAGACAAAATTGTAAAAAATGGTCCCTGTGTTTATCATAATTATATGGTTTTTGTCCAAAAAAAGTTTGGTAGTGTATCGGTTGTCCAATTTCGGATACTTTGTGCAATTTTGGTCCTTATAGTTAGCATTTTTGTGTGATTTTGGTCTATACCCAATCTAAAATGACTAATATGTCATTCAAATTATTTTTTTTCTATCTGTTTTAATTGAATTCTAATTCCTTTAATTAAAAAAAAAACAAAAATATATATCACCCCACCAATCTCTCACACAGACACACATCTTTCACACACAGAGAAGGCCACCGAAACCCTAGAAGTATCGGGCGTCAAATTCGCAGGAGAAAAACACCCAATCTGGTTCGGATTTTGGTTTTAGCACATGATTTTGTCCTGTTGCCTTCATCCTCTACATGCTCCAAAAAAAAAAAATTAATATTTGATTCCTTATGTGAATATGAGCTTTATTTGATCATTGTTGTTTATTTTCTATAAACAAATCTTGTAGGTAGCTCAATGAGCTTTGAGTTGAAGCCAGAGTAAGGGTTAAAGACGGTGATATTAAGGATGACACTGCAGGCCGTGGAGGTGGTGAATGTGTTTTTAATGGTGCTGAGCTCTGGCGAGAATAGTGGCTGATGATTGTGGTTCCGGATATCAGTGATGAGGGTGAACCGGTGATGAAGGGCTTCTTTAAGATAAGAGTAGGGAATGGGTTTATTTGTTTTTATTTTTTATTTTTTGTTTTAAGTTAAAAAGATATAAATTTAATTAGTTTATGTATTTCAACAATTAAAAAAATAAAAAATATAAATTATAATGGCATAACTATCATTTTAAGTGTATAGGGATCAAAATCAATAGAAATATCAAATTTGAACCAATGGTACACTAACATTTTGTTTTTGACCAAAATCATATAAATTTGCGATTTTGTTTTGGACCAAAATCATATAAATTTGCGAACAACGGGAATATTATTATAATCTTATCAAAATATAAGTTGTTTTAAATAAGCAATCTCAAACGCCCTCAATCACGAAACACACTCGGGTTATACATCGACAATTATAACAAAGCCAATCTAATCCGGACTTTTTAAGTTTCTCGACTACTTTTATAAAAGATATTTAATTATTAATAAAAACCACTTTTATTAAATAAGATTTAGCCAAAACGCAAGAAAGTCACAAATAAAGAACAAACTCGTGACTGAGACAACTATTTATATGGTTAAATGCAACAACTCTCAAAAGCCTTTTCTTTCACTCCCACCATTATTGAACTTCCATTTCTTTTTGCTTAGATCCACCCCCACACAACACACACACACAAAACAAACACAGAGTGTTAATGGCGTATGTGAGAGAGAATCAGATTCTCTGTGTTTGAAACTACACAAGCACTGCTCCTCTTACTGTTTAAGCTACCATACCATCATACTCATGTAGAACGAACTTTGACTTCAACAAATCTACGAGCAAGCTTCAGTCTCCAGGTATTTATCCATCTTCCTCGATTGTTGTTTTTGGTATTGTGAGAGTTGAGCGTCATTTGCTCGTGTTCAATCGATAATTTTGATCTGTGTTGAACTGTTCGAGGTGCGGGTTTTGATTCTCGAAGTTGTTCGTTTTCTGAAAACTTTCTTCTTTTGTCTAGGGTTTTGTTTGTATTGTGCTAATTAGTTGCTAATTATTTATGGATTTAGGGTTTTTCTTTTGTTCCTTATTACGATTCCCGAATTTTTAGTGTATTCATCGCTATTTCCTTCCTTTCCCCAAATTTAGGAAGTATTAAACGTTAAATGTGGAATTTTCCACTTCGATTCAATTTTGGATCAACGGATAGTTTAATTACTAATTACATACTTGAAGTAAGTAGCAATCTGTATACTGTTTTACTCTCTTCATCCCAGATTTTTAGGGTTTTCGTTTGTGATTTCAGGTCAGTTCGTTCTTCACATAATAAAAGATTATCATCAAATTTCAATATGTATAGACCCTCGCCTGTTCGAAACCCGAGGGCAAAAGGAATCAAATCCAAAAATGTCCTGCAAATTTGTTTGTTACTCGCTGTTTGCTTCTGGTTGATCTTCCAAGTGAAACGATCCCATGAAAAGAAGAAAGAGTTTGATAACACAAAAATCTCGTTAAGCACCAGTAAACAAAGTAATAATGAAATCGCTAAACTTGGAAGAAAAGATCTCCAACCTAAATTAGAAAAGATCGAAGCGGAAGCTGAAACGCAAATTGAACAAGATGAAGAAAAGATCGATGAGGGAAAAGAGGATGAAATCGATGAAAACGAACAAGAAAAGTCAGAAGCGGAAGAAAATCAAGAAATAGAAGAAGTCATAGATGAAGAAAGTCAAAGTCAAACTGAAACTGAAACTGAAACTGGTGATTCTGTAGAAGATCATGAAGATGAAGAAGAAGAAGAAAATGGAGGTTCAACACATACACATGAAGGACGTGAAGAACACTACAAAGCAGATGATGCTTCTAGTGCAGTAGTTACTCATCTTTCTACTGAAAATACAACAAATGAAGAAATCTCAAATGGTGAAACTTTCAATAATGGAACTTCATTGATAGATCCCCATGAAAATGGACCTCCTTCAAGCACCAAAATCATGGATTCTGATTCTACAGAAGCTGTAAATGTCACAGTGGAGGGATTTGCTCCTAATTCAAGTTATGTGAAGAATGATGAGTTGAAAAGTAGAAATGAAGTTGAAAGTGATGAAGATGAAGGTGAAAGTGAGAATTTGGAGGGTAATGATGTAATTTTGGATCCAGATGAAGTGGAAAATGAGACACATTTAGAAGAGAAAGAGGTACGGATGGATTTAGACACGTTGCCTGAGATTGAAACAGAAGGTGGAAACAGTGAAGATACTGCTGCAGAAAGAAGATAAAAAAGATTTATTTTGTGTTGATTTTTGAAGTTGTGATTCTTGTTTTGTTTCAACATCATGTTTTGCTTCAGAACTTGAAGTTGTAGTCCATATTAATTTATTAATTGCCTTTCATCTTTGTATAAATTTCGTGTGAAATGTCAATTTTTTTGTTTATTTAAAAACATTAGAGACTTATTCCATTGATGGATGACACTTGGATAAAAAATTCTGTTAATAATCCTTTGTTGTAAAATAATTTTTAAAAAAAAAATGTTCTGAAATCGTTGTAAAAAAGTTTGTAAATGGTTATATGGAAGATTGAGCTTTTTAGAATGTCATATTACAACCTAAAAAAATAGTCAAATATAAGTGTGTGAATCATAATCTTAAACCTCAAAGTATATGAATTTGGGATTAGTGCTGTGATATCTAAGATTAAACAATAGTAATATATACTATATAAATCCAAATTATAAACATCTACATCAATTTCGATCAGCAAATACTATGTTGGATCGAACTTAACGAGCATAATTTTTTGTTTTATCCATCAACCAATTCCAATAATTTAGATTAATTCATTTGTCGATTCTTTGAATCATAAAAACATCAACATTCAACGATGGAATCTATGCATAAAATTTGTTTGCGATTAGATGAAAATAAGAGAGTATAGAAAGAAAACTGACTGGTGGTTTTCATCGAAGTCGACACGGCGGCAGAGCGCCAAAATGTCATAGAAAACAAACCGGCCACCGTCCCAACGCTTTCAGTCTCCGCCTCTTTCTGTCACTCTTGGGATGCTCCGTCGACATTCACGAGTCACGACGATAGAGTTGGACAAGTGGGCTGTTTTTCAACTTTTTAATGGGCTACTATTTGAACGAGTTTTGTGGCCCATGGTTTCTCTAAAAAAGTTCAAATCCTTTTGTATTTAACTTAATATTATATGTTATTTGGATGAATGAAATTATTTATCTTTGAAATTTTTACTATCTTTTATTTTAATTTAGTATGTGTTCTATTTAATATAGTTTTTCATTTACCCACAAGTCAACATATATAATGTTTGAAATAGAATCTTGCTTTCTGCAATGAGTTTTCATTTTGAGGTTTATAAGATTATATGCATGCCATCTATATAAGATTATATAAACTCCATGTAGATAATGAGTAAGATTATATACATACCATCTATATACTATATAAGATTATATAAATTCCTAAGGATAATGAAAAGTAATTTTTGGAAGGTATATGTTATACTAGGAAGTATATATCACATCATGTGACTTAATGAAAAGTGAGTTTTTAATACATGTTGATTGTCAAAGTCATTATGAGTTTTTTCAATTATGGATCAGCATAAAATACAATTCTTAAAACATAAAAAATAAAAAATCAAGATATAAAAGTTGTATGTATACTTTCCTTGATAAAATTTAATATTAAGAATTTTTTGAAAATAGAAAATTTTGTATTAAATCATCTTCATTATCATGTCACCCTTTGCAAAGTTTGCATGATAGAGTTTTTGAAAGGGGTGTCTTATTTGAACCTCTAATTATATGATATATATGTAAGGTTGAGCAAAGTTGAACCTGGAAACCTAAAAATCGACAATACTCAAACCAAAAAAATCGAAACCACAACGGAAATCGACAGTTTGGGTATCAATTTTTCAAAAACCGAAATTTTCAATTTAGATTCGGTCTCAGAAATTTCAGAAACCGAAAAAACAAAACTAGACTAAACCTATTAAATTATATAATATTATGCATATTTTATTATAAAGTTGTGAAAACTAAACACAAGTACTAAATTGTCTAGATGGTTAAGGCGTTGAACACTTAAAGCGGATGCCCTAGGTTTAAATCTTGGATTTAACATGGAGGGTTTTATTTTGTTTGTTGCTTGTTCTATATCCCTTCCAAATTGTTTCTTTTAATTCTCAAACCTCTTCCACATCAGACAAACATGAAACATAACTTTCATTAATCTCTTGTATAATCAACACCAACTTATCAATGCTCAACAAGTTAAAGTTTCAAACAGTTTTGGGTTTAAACCCAAAACCAAGGAACCGAACCCATCAGTTTAGGTTTAGGATTTGGTTTTAAATATTTGAAATCGATATCATCATTTTGGGTCCAAACCGACCCATGCGAAGGCCTAGACTATGTGTGTTTGTAAGGCGCATACACACACCCATACACTCACATATGTCTCATCACTATGAGTTTATTTACAAATACCTTTTTCGAAATGACCATCATCACGATTGATTGGAAAGAGTAGCTTTTTATACTTGATTTGATGGATGGAGACAAATCTTTAAAAGTCGATAGCTTTAATAAGAAAATCGATATTAACAAAATCTTCATCCCCTTGCTTATATGACATGTTAATTATACCAACTTCCAATATTTAATATTTTTTGGAAATCAAATACCATCCTACTTTTTATTCCTACTAATATTTATACACATTAGATCAAAACAAATGTTAAAATCAAAAAATGAACTAATATAGAGAATCGGTAGATTCTGCATATCATAATTTTTTTATGAGTACGAAAGTGGTTAGAAACAAAATATAGAAGAGTAATAATTTTTCAATATTTTTTTTTTATATCTAATCATACAATTAAAATTTATATTATTGCAATACATTTATAGTCATATTGTAATAACTATATAACATAACAATCAACTAAAATAAAAGAAGTATTTTATATACAAAAAAGTTGGTTTATATGATCAATATTGGACCATCCTATATCTAAGGGCAATTATGATCTTGTGTACCAAAATAATGATATTGGACCATCGAAAAAACATAAATATTAATTATTGAACTAGAGTCGCTGAGGAGTATATTGAGAATGATATTTAGACTCTCGGATGATCAAATGATGTCTGGAACTAGAGTTGTCGAAGAGTATATTGATGGTTTATCATGTACCAAAATAATGATGGTTTATCATGTAGTTCTTTAATCAGACATCATTTGATCATCCGAGAGTCTAAATAACATTCTCAATATACTCCTCGACGACTCTAGTTCAATAATTAATATTTATGTTTTTTCGATAACCCCAACTTAAACATACTCATCTCTTCTTTTTGGTAGCTTTTACTCGAGCAACCAAAATTTCTTGTGTCGCCTACGCTTATGCACGTTTAAATATGTTCTTCAACCCTACTAAACAATTCTAAATCCATCAATCATACGGGCCCCAAACGGGTTATCTCACATACGACCCGTAGGTATTGTAATAACATAACACCTATTAAAGTTTGGCGACGGAGAATCGACTCACCTAATACGCCCACACACGCCTAATCCCTAGCGTGAAATCTTTGTACGTTTATTATTATTCTGGTTTTCCTAACCCTACTAATATGTGTGTGTGCTCTTTTATGTTTATGATTATTCTTATTTTCCTAACTCTTTTCTTGCTTATTTAATGACTTTTTCATATATGTTCATTTATGTTTGTTCTTGATTTGAAATTTTATGTTCATTTAATTCTGTATGGTTCTTGATTTGAATATTTATGTTACCTTATGTTTGTTTATATTCATATGTGTTTGTTTATGTTCAATTATATTCGTTTGTTTATGTTCGTTTTTTGGTACGTTGATTTAAACAAACGAACATGAACAAATTCTTATTTGTGACCGGTTAGTTTGTTTACAGTTGACCATTCTCATTTCCTTAACTTGTTTCATGTCAACGTTGTAGATTTTTTTTCATCCGTTATTTCTTATTTTGGATTTTGTGCTTGATTTTTTCTATTTAAAGCTACAAGTGGTCATTTGATTTATGGTAGTGCTTTGAATCTGCAACTAATGGTAATATGGTATTGCTTTGAATCCGCGATCCTGTTTCCACCGCCCTTGAACTTGCTACAAGTGTTATCTTTATATTGTGTGTTTATTTTTTTCTTTTTAACTGTTCTGTGATAATGCTTTAAATCCACTTGTATTAGAAGAACATGAATGCTTACCTATTTTGTGTGTAAATGTGAACAACCGAGCATAGAGAATGGTTCAGATTTGCCTTTGAGCTGAATGGTTCAAAGAATCATTGAGAGGCTTTCACTGAATCAAAGATGAAAATTTTCACTAAATCAAAGATGAAAAATTAATGAATCAATATCTGATTTTTTTGTTACTCTCTCTTTCTCTCTCTCTCTCTCTCTCTCTCTATATATATATATATATATATATATATATATATATATACACACACACACACACACACTAGTTTATAACCCGTGAGAACCACGGTTATAAAATTAATTGAACTTTTATAATAAAAGTTTATAATTATTAATCAGTTATTTTAAATAAGTCATTTTAAATAAATTATTAATTAACATATATATCAAAATTTTTAAGTTATTATAACTTAAAATTTAACATGTAATTAGAAAATGTTGAAATGAATTACCTAATATATCTACATGACACATGATATAATATTAATGAAGAATTGTATTAGAGTGACACTTAGCAAAAGGAGATTAAAAATATTCATTTATTAGAATAGGAATATATATATATATATATATATATATATATAATATTTATTAGTTTTAATCAGTTAATATATTTAATTAAATACAAAAAATAAAACTAAGTGGTTTCTAGAGAAATTTATACCACCAAATAGCATTTGTCTGACATTTTAAAATTTACAAAAGATCAAATATGAAAAACAATTTGGTCATATAATATTTTATGGTTTTTATTTATTTATTATAATTAATTAATGTTATTTTCGAAAACATAATATATACTTAAAATTTGATAAGTTATATGAAGTGATTTCATATGTTATATGGGACATGTTCATTGTGGAATCAGACTTGACCAATTATGTATATTCCATATATGTTTTGTGTGTTTAGAACATGCTCATCGTGTTCTGGAAAAAATCACCGTGTTCTAGACTGCTATTTCCTATTCCATACACACTTTACCATCACATACATGCCACATGTACTCGTT